TCTCAGATCTAAAGAAACGCATTGATCTGGCTGTGTTGTGGGTGGCCCAGTCCACAATTTATCCATATACGGTACATGTGAGCACAGCGTGCTTCATCTGTTCTCACTCCGAGCCGACCAGTCCTTATCCCCTTTATAGCGAGCCCCAGGCAGGTTAACAACAAGTACTATCTTTACCCTGGCGTACGGTCTCTCCACTCTATACCACAGTGGCACGCGTACACGCGCGCACGCACGCACGCATGCACGCACGCACACACACACATATATATACACACACACCTCGCTATATATAGGTGCAATGATCTTGAATGCCTCGCCACACCTCGCTATATATAGGTGCAATGATCTTGAATGCCTCGCCTCACCCCATGTCATATAGCCAAACGCACCGATGACGCATTTTGAATATGTGTATTGGATCCGATATATACTCAATTGCAAAAGAATCTGTTATTTTTAATTTATTGAAAACTCAACTTGAAATAATGATGAAGGTATGGCCAGGCTCCGTGACGTGGTTGATTGCGTGGCATCGCACCTTGATGATTTGATCGTTGTTCGAAGTCAATCACTGGATAGTCATCTTTATGTGACCATACTAATCTATAGTTTCTCTAACCGATACGGGGCGGTCGGGTAGCCTAGTGGTTAAAGCGTTCGCTCGTCACGCCGAAGACCCGGGTTCGATTCCCGACATGGGTACAATGTGTGAAGCCCATTTCTGGTGTCCCCCGCCGTGATATTGCTGGAATATTGCTAAAAGCGGCGTAAAACCATACTCACTCACTCACTCTAACCGATACAGAGTTGTGTCCCTTTGATGCCAGTTGGCCTGGTTGATTGTCACGTCAATACTTTATGGATTTGTATTACAAATATTTTGATCCAAATTTACTACCCGACACTACCTGGATACCCGACCCCCTATTACTCGACACTACCTGGGTACCCGACCCCCTATTACCCGCCACTCCCCGGGTATATGACCCCCTATTACCCGCCACTACCCGGGTACTGGACCCCCTATTACTCGCCACTACCAAGATACTCGACCCCCTATTACCCGCCACTACCCGGGTACTGGACCCCCTATTACCCGCCACTACCCGGGTACTCGACCCCCTATTACCCGCCACTACCCAGATACTCGACCCCCTATTACCCTCCACTACCCGGGTATATGACCCCCTATACCCGCCACTACCCGGGTACTGGACCCCCTATTACCAGACACTACCCGGGTACTGGACCCCCTATTACCAGACACTACCCAGATACTCGACCCCCTATTACCCGACACTACCCGGATACTCGACCCCCTATTACCCGACACTACCTGGGTACTCGACCCCCCTAATACCCGACACTACCTGGGTACCCGACCCCCTATTACCCGACACTACCTGGGTACTTGACCCCCTAATACCCGACACTATCTGGGCACCAGGTTCAAGAGTTGAGTACAGAATGTCCGACAGGGAATTGTGTCACCTTAGCTCAGGCAAAGATTGTTTAGTGGCACGTATTAAACAACCAGTCCTGATCATGCGTGAATAACCAGAACGAAATGCGAACATTAGCGACTTGTAGTGTAACCATTGAGGTTTGTGAGGTGGCATACCGAGTTAACCGTCCCATTGCCATGTAAGGTATCCGTGTATTTCTCGGATCTGAAGACACGTTGTCATGTCTCTGTTAATGTGGGCTGTGAGTCATGCACGGTACTGGCTGGTTGGTTTCAGCGCCCTTGTTCTCGAAGTGGGGCTATATTTGTATGAAGTGTCCATCCACCACAACTCGCTTTAAGATGAAATAATGACGGAACCCAATTCACAATGTATTGTTTCATTTACAGTACATGTGCAGTTGGCTTTCTTCATCTGACCCATCTTCCCGAGGCAAGGGAGTTAACTGGCTATCAAAGTCCGGCTTTCACTCGGGAAGATGCATCATACCAGTCTCCGAGTCGACCAGTTAGCTTTTTATCCCTTAATGCCGAACTATCCTGACGGGGACCGATTCCGTGGTCCTGTGGATAACGCGTCTGACTAGGGAGTGGAAGGTCGGTGGTTCGATCCCCTGGCCGCGTCATATCAAAAGACATAGCCATGGTACATTTGTTGTTGCCCTGCCTGGCGTTTGGCATTATGGGGAATAAACAAGGACCGGTCGTCTCGGAGTCAGAATACTGTGTCGGAGTGGGGTATCCATGTAATACTGCTGAGTGGACTAGCACTATAGGACCGACATTAAACAGGACAAGTACGTGCACGCACGTCGCTGTAGTGCAATGATCCTGAGTGCGACCTTAAAACACCTCATCTAATTAAACCGTCCATAACGCATGTCTAAAAGGTGTGTTGGATCCGATATATACTCAAATGCAACTATTACCGTATCTATTTATTGAAAACTCAAGTTAAAAATAGTTATGACGTTATGGTCAGTCTCGGTGACCTAGTTGATTGCGTGTCCTCGTACCTTAATCATTTGATCGTTACTCATAATGTCAATCACTGGATTGTCTCGCCCAGGCCTATATTTAAATGAACAAATATCCATAGGCCGAGCACCAAGACAATGAAACCAGCGGCAACCTGCCCACAATCACAGCTAGATCAGTACGTTTCTTCGGATCCGAGAAATACATGGATGCACTTGACACCAATCACGGAACTAAATCTAATAGAGCTCATTTCACTTCTATAAAGCAGAACGAAACCCTTTCAAACATTATCAAAACGTCATGGGTTTGTATACACGACGTTCCTAAATACGCCCCCCTCCCCCCCCCCCCCTTGTGTGTAGATACAGACATTCGTACTTGGTACACCGGAACCCAACCCCATCTCACCACACCACACCATCACCCCACCACACCTACCAACCCCACCACCCTACCCACCACCTCGCAACACTAGCCCTACCCACCATCACCCCACCACCGTGCCCCACCACCCCTACCCACCATCACCACACCCCACCACACCACCATCATCACCCCAACCCACCACCTCGCCCCACCACCCCTACCCACCCTCGCCCTACCCACCATCACCCCACCACCTTGCCCCACCACCCCTACCCACCATCACCCCACCACCCCTACCCACCATCACCCCACCACCCCTACCCACCATCACCCCACCACCTCGCCCCACCACCCCTACCAACCATCACCCCACCACCTCGCCACAGCCCACCACCATCATCACCCCTCAACCCCACCCGACCACACCACCACCTCGCCCCACCAACCGTCACCCCACCACCCCTACCTCACCATCCCCTCACCCCACCAGGCGGTCGGGTAGCCTAGTGGTTAAACTCACTACCTCACTCACTCACTCACCCCACCACCCCTACCCACCGTCACCCCACCAACCCTACACACCCCACCCCACCATCCCCTCACCCCACCACCATCACACCACAACCTCGCCACTACCACACCACACCATCACCCCTGGTGTGGTATGCCCCCAGGACATCACGCTTTTCGTCACAAACTGAGCTTGGGCAGTCGACGCGGTAGGGCATGGATTGTTACTCAAGCTTATTCAATAGTACTGGTTTGCCGGGTCCAGGCCCGATTGACTGACTGGTGTTATTTGATTACCATCGGAAAAAAACCCATTAGTCACTGACCCACTGACACAACAGCCACCCGTTACACCCTTTGGACATCCCTGCTCCTTACGTTTCCTTCATATGGAAAACTGAAGACTAAATCAGGACGAACTCTTTCTTTCTTAAATGGTGGCACGGGTGGCCCATGCAGCCGTCTAAGGCGCCGCGATTCGCTGTGCAGAGTTGCGTCCCCTGGACACGCCAGAAACCTATGATTGTGGGTTCGAATCCCGGTTCACCCCGATTATGTTTCTAGGTTTGTCAGCACCATACCCGTGCTCGTGGGTTTCACCGAAGTGGTAAACGTCTGAGACCTGCATCACTTCGGGCTTTCCTCCCACATTAAGCTGACACGCCGTGTTATAACTGGAATAATGTTAAAAGCGGCGTTAAACCCAACTCACTCACTCTTTCTTAAATGTTCTTCAGCCATAGTTTACTTCTCGGATCGACAATGCCGCAGTTCTGTCAGCGGAAATACAGCCAGCTGCGTACAGACAGGACGAACGTATGACTGCATTTCTTCAGTTGTGTCAAAGGAAAAACTCGACTAAGTGGAGAACGCGGATCTGTATTGCATTGATCCATAAAGCTGTGTTGGCGATATAAATAGATACCCGATGATGTCACCAACTTCTGATTATAAAAAGGAAGTCTTCCCGTGTGTCTTCAGTGACCGAGCTGGGGTGATCAGGCGTTACCTCGCAGGTACAGATCCCCAGAACACACATGGATATACATATGGATCACGTAATCAAGGTAAGTTTCAATATTCACATGCAAGAGCCGACAGCGTGTACTCTTCAGTGACAAGCGTCGCTTCCCTCTGCATCGTGTTGATGGAAGAGTCTGTGTGTATATAGACGTAGAGGGGAACGCCTAGCTGGCACCTAGATGCGACCAAGAGATCCACCCACACGTACGTGTTGGTGTGATTGTAATGTTGCATGTTAAATATATGTTTTTAATGTGAAACTATCATGTGAATACCTAATTGATTACATTCATGTTGACAACCATATTCGTCTTTGGTCAATGTCATTAATATCAGATCGTAGCGAGAACAGTTGGGGGCACGGGAGGCACAGTCGTCAAAGGCGCTGCGATTCCCTTTACTGACATTCAAACACAGTGAGAAGTTTGTTTTTATGTCCATCAGTTCAGTTTACAAGGACGAAATGGGAGGACTGGCCACACAAGCTCTCAATCGGATGTACTCGACGTATTCCGCTTACTACATAATATTTTGACTGAGGCTAGCAGGATTTCTTTTACAGGAGGTTATCTACCCCTAATATTCCATCTGGAGTGACGTCCCTTTAACAAATATGGCCGACTCGACTCATGTGATTAGAGAGAAAACTACGACTGTTTCTTAATCGTCCGAAAACCCGTAACACGGGGATACATTAGTAGGAAATACAAACTAAAGGCGTTAACACTTATAAACGTTTATGCCGTTCTGTAAAGAGGTAGTCTGATACCAAATGTTGCCACGTGGTAGGTACGCTATCATCACGTGACTTTATTTGACGTCTGTTTCCTTTTGTTGTTTTTGAGATCATTTCTGGACGAATGGTCGAGTTCTGGGAAAATGTCCCTTTGGAATACATTAGGAATCTCTCCCAATTCCAACATGTATATATGTTGAAAATGTTGATCAAGGGCGAATTTAATAACCAAATATTGGGGTAAGAAACACTATATTTATTGATCGATCTTTTTTCAATTTCGTCTTTCTCTGATCTACAACTATCATGGAAGTATTTTACACGACATAACCATCACCTCAATTTTAACTTGAACGTCCTATTGTTTTCTTAAAGGTAGTACATGTATATGCCTGTTGTTATAAGTTAGAGAGAGTTGGGATTTTAGTTTGAGATATTTTTAAACCTTAGACTGCTTAAAACTAAAGATAATTCGCACCATAACGTGCCAGATGAAAGAAAATAGGGCCAAATATAGATTTAGTTCGCGAAACAATTTCGCGTGTTGAATGGTGATATTTTTGTTGAATTCGCCTTTTAAAGGAACAAAATATGTAGATCTACACGTCATTCTTGAATGCATTTATGGTATGGTGTCTATTTAGGGAGGTGAGGGACACCTGATTCACTACAAGGGCGTGTACAAGTCGGTGGTAGGCGGACCATGTGACTTCGTTTGTCCCTCCTGACATACATCACCCGGATCCGTCACGTGATTGACCTCGAACACATCCGTGCACTTCTCGGATAGACAGATATATAGTCACTTATATAGCTATCTTGAACATGATTCAGCCTATCTAAACAAAAATCATTTCCGAGATTGAGTTCTCTACACCCGTTTGCGCCATTGGCATCAGCTCTGAATTAATCACGTGATATCTATCGACCTACTTGTTGGAGCGGCGTGTATATCACGGATCCTATACAACATGACACACAATATGCGAAGCCTTGCATAAAGTACAGGTAGGACATATTTCTCAGTTGGCCCTTTCTTTAACTATAGGTGTACAGACTTTATTTTCCAAGCCTTAGCGTATTCAATATGGTCATAATTACAATAATTTTAGAATTGAACACATTCAAAAAGAAATTGTAGTTACTAGAGCTCTAGTTAGTTAGGGTATTGTCGGTAAAGTGAAATTAAAGAAAAGTTTACAGAACTTTGAAACTTGGTGTCTGTCCATTATGGATTAATGCTCCAAAATGTTATGTATATTGCTTGATCATAATATTCTAGTTTGACTAACTCGTATTACTTCTTGAGTAGAAAAAAAACAACCGATCTAGATATTACATTACATTCACGTTGGTGCATTTTCGGGTTTGCGGATCTTATGGATCAGTAATAAAACTTATTGGATTTAATTATTACTTACAAAACAAGTTCGTATAACGTTTGCAAACGTTTTTACATAAATATGGGACTAGGATTCACATGCCATCAGTCATGGCCACTATATAGCGACCTCCATCGTCTTGTTTGGCTGAATGTCGTCTTGTCAATACTGCAGTGCCCCTTTAGTCTGTATTTTAGAATACTATTACTATTTGTATGATGTGTTCTAAATCCTCCAGTGAAATGTTCGATAGTCTGTGACAAACGAACAGTGCTGTAAAACCTTCGCGGTGATGTGTATCTAAAAATAGATGGGTATTCCCAACTATTAGTATTTATAGTACGGGTATTCACCTTGCAAACCGGCTGCCGTTCCTAGTTTCACAAAGCAGCAACAAATTACAATGTATTTTATTGTAAATCAATTTGATTGGATGGATTTAAGCAGATATTGATTACTATATTTTTGTGTGCCCCACTTTATGTTTCCGACTGGTTATCTGTGATAACTCTCATCCGTACACTAGGTGACCTTGGCAGGCAAATTGGGTTTGGTTTAGTTTGTTGTTTAACGCAGCACTCAGCAATATTCCAGCTATATGACGGTGGTCTGTACATAATCGAGTCTGGACCAGACAATCCAGTGGTCGATATCATGAGCATTGATCCACACAAGTCAGTGAGTCTGACCACCCGATCCGTTAGCCGCCTCTTACCACAAGCATGTCGCCTTTACAGCAAGCATGGTACAGAGCTATTCTACCACAGGTCTTCAGTGGTCAGGCAAATTGTTCAAAATTGTTCTATTTTTGTATACTTGATGAGGAATTGGGAAATTTTAAATACAAATTATGGGGGTTGATTTAACTGCTGGTCCATTGGCCCGTGGCCAGTTAAAATTAGGAAAGGCTTGCTGAAAGCTAAAGTAGAAGGCCCATCTGGCTTGTCAAAATTTCACCCCTTCTCCGTATTTGTTTAATTTTTTAATTGGACTCTACTGCTGAATTATGTAATTTAGATGAGAAAATATTTATTGGGGATGAGGTCAGGTGAATGGTTAACTCAAAGGTCGATCATCTCAATAGAATGACATGCCTGGCAGCTATTTTGTAATGTTTTGTACAACAACAACAACAACAACTTTATTTGCTCCTCAAATCACCACACAGAAATGAGGCAAAGGGAAGCCAAGATTTAATCTCAAGAGTGCAGGAAATGACATTTTCTGACTGTTTATCTGTGATACCTCTCCATAAAGATTCTCGGATCAGGGTCCTATCCCACAAAGTGATCTCAGCGCCACGTGAGCCTGTGTTAAGAGTTGCGATCGTTGCTTTAGTGTCACGTGACCGACAGGTGTCCTTCTCTGATCCATGGTCATACATCCACACCTTGAATCGTTACCCTAGTTTCAACAACACCCATATTGATTTAGAATTGTCCTCACTTGAATTCCTTGCAGGGTGTATAGTATACCAATAATTATACAGAGACTAGTTTGGTTTAATTGTCAAATAACATGTTTATCTCATTCTTCATCAAATAGTGACAGTTGATATTTTCATGAGTGACTTTAATTTACTTTAATTAAATAATTATTTGCCACAGTTTAGTAACTGATGACATTGTGAGACCATGATGTCACTTGGCAGGGTTAGTAATTGTCCTATAGTCCTTGCCAATCTGCCCAATAGTTAAGGTATCATAAGGACTAGTAGATATTTACCATTTTTAAGGGTTTTGCTGTATGTTATGTTATCATTATAAGGACTAGGGGACCAAAAATGTTAGTTTCTACCGCTGCTTGGACTTGTTCATGACATGTAATTGAAAACTCTAGTTACTTTTTTTTTCTTAAATAAAAAACAGATTGTGGAAAGTGTTTAAGCAGCATTTTCTCAGAAACCAAAAAGATAAGTTGTTGTTGGTTTGTTGTTTTACGCCACACTCAGCAATATTACAGCTATATAACGGCGGTCTGTAAAATAATCGAGTCTGGACCAGACAATCCAGTGATTGATATCATGAGCATCGACCCACGCAATTGGGATCGATGACCTGCATCAACCAAGTCAGCAAGCCTGACCACCCGATCCCGTTAGTCGCCTCTTAAGACAAGCATAGTCACCTTTTATGGCAAGCATGGGTTGCTGAAGACCTATTCTACCCCGGGTCTTCACGGATACCAAAAAGATAAGAGATATTTTGGTATCATATGGGTAGCATGACAAAGGCTCACCAACCTCTGCCACATCCATCAATGACATATCCTGAAATCCACTGGACCGATGATTCTGAAATTTCACATGCTTGTTCCCACCAGTGGTGACACCAGAATTTGTTCAAGAGGTTCAAATCCCTTTTCATTATGGCAACTTTGGCAGCCATATTGAAAAATAACTCCTATTTACTGCCATTATTGTTCAATATGTAATGAAAGTTATTGTATAAGCAGTTACATGTGATTTTGAGATTTTGACCTTGATTTGACCTTTATGTTTCAAAGATGCCTTTAAATTCTGTCAGAAGGCATTTTTTCTCTGTAAACATATTCTCCTCTGAATGTGCCAGACACAGGAAGCTCGACCTTCGAATGTACTTTTCTTCTCATGGTGATATGATACTTTGTTGAAATCATGAGTAATTTAGGATCTTTAAGGATTTCAGTGTTGGTGCTCTGTTAATGAAATGTCCAATTTCATAAAGAATTCTGAACTTTTGTGTGCATGATCATGGCTGTAAAACAATTCAAGTGCCTGTGAAAGAAATTCATCTTTGGTAGATTCAGACAAAGTTGCAAAACCAGGATTTGTTTCTTTTCTATCAGAATCTCTTGAAGCAAATTTTCGATGTGTGTCTCCATGATAAGGTTGGAGTGTTTTAAACTTAAACAAACAATTAAGTTTTTCAAACAATTGAAATTGATAAAATAGTTTTGCCAGATTAATAAACCGTTGCTCAAATGTAGTTATTTGTTTTATCTTTATTAGTTAGTCATACACATTTATTTGAATATCAATATTGACAGTGGCGTTTGTTGACTAGATATCCAGGTGAACTATGCCATGTCACTATATTCTTTGTGTTATTGTGCATGTGCATGTCATCCACCACCTCCATTAATGATGCCCATGTTGATCTAATACCAACAATCCATCTCTAAACATTCCTCCACCATCAGTCATGTACAGGTATATACATTTTAATGAACCTAAAACCTACTACTTCGGTTTTTATTTTCAAAATCTTCAAAGCATAAGGACACAACATCTTATATTTTTGCAGTATCCTGTTATGGGTTGACCTATGCAGCATGACCTACTCTCACAAGAACACGTCCTTCGACACCCAGGAGGTCCTGCAAATACTGCATGAGCCAGACTGGACACGGGTCATCAGGCAGCCGCCGGTCAAGCCAAGGGCAGGAGATGTGTTCCTCTATCACTTCACAGAGGAAAGCAAGAAAGGTGAGATTCAAAGTTTTAGTAATTAATTGCATTTATGAATTTGTTGGATATACAACATTATTATTCATGTCTTCAAGTTTGTTTTCTGTGAATATTAATCTAACAAATATAGAAATTACTAATTGATAAGGTTTTGTTTTCTGTGAATAGTAATCTAACAAATACAGACATCAATAATAGATAAGGTTTTGTTTTCTGTGAATAGTGATCAAACAAATACAGACATCAATAATCAATAAGGTTTTGTTTTCTGTGAATAGTGATCTAACAAATACAGACATCACTAATCAATAAGGTTTTGTTTTCTGCGAATAGTAATCTAACAAATACAGACATCAATAATAGATAAGGTTTTGTTTTCTGTGAATAGTAATGAAACATGACATTTGGGTGAGGGGTGAGGAGTTCGAAAATTTCCAAAAACCCTGAGTAACTCAGTCACGGCCTCCAACATTTAGTTTTGAGACCCTGCTGTCTTCATACAAATTTGTTGTTCAATCTACCCCTGAAAATGGGAATATGTTTGGTTTGCTCCAGATTTGAGCCCAAATTATGGGACTCTGAGCAGGGCTAGATAATTTGCTGCATCTTGAATAAATGAATCATAATTTATTCATCTGTTAAAAAAACTAAAATTCCTAAAACATTATTTTACCTGTCTACTTATTTCCAATAATGAAGGTTCCATACATCCTGAATTTCATGAAAGAAGATAGAATCTTTGGTTTATTAGTGATGATGACAGACAATGTAGTGATTGACATCATGAGCATCACTTGCATGGATCGATGCTCATCATGCCAATCACTGGATTGTCTGGTCCAGACTCGATTATTTACAGACCGCGATCATATAGCTGGAATATTGCTGAGTGTTGCGTTAAACAACAAACAGCAACAGCAACAACAACATATGCCAGCCAGGGTCCTAAACATTCTTGTTTCCAACAGATGACTGGAAGTGTGACCAGTACCACTTTCACCATGATGGCACCAGGAAGCAACCCAAGAGGAACCCAAAGTTCAACAAGACGTTTTTTGTCATCAGGACGAGTCATGGCAAAGACAGCCGGTTCAAGAAACATGCTTACATTCTGCTGGGAGATAGTGGCAATCTTGTCCTGTTCCAGTATCTGGGAGATCACTCTGTGGCACTAGACTTGCCTCATGGGAACTCCAGGGACCCCGCTCAGATATACACGCGTCTATGTCCGTCCGTCATCAGAAGCATCAAGAATGTCTCAATCCGAGTAAAAGAGACGTTCAAACAGATGGAGAAGGATGCTGGGACGTCAGCAGCACCGATGATCAACAAGCCGCGATCATTAGAACAGATCAGAAACATCCGATTCCGGGAAAGACAGAAAAATAAATTGAAAGGAAAAGGAAAGAAAAAGAAAAAGAAGAAAATGTTGGTAAAAAGAAATGACAATGAGACAGAAGAGCAGACCCCATTACTTAAAGATGCAATAGGTGATGACAATGAGCAGATATCAACGAGGGATGATTCAACAGATGTGCAGTCTCCGCACAACAGTGATGTTTCACCCAATACCCAGAATAAGCTGCTCGAACTAGCTGATGTGTGCTCTAACAGGTATGTTGAAAACCAGACCACCCCGGAAGATCTGGAGGGTAAGGAGAATGGACATGCTGACTCAGCACCCTTGGGCACACCGAAATCTACACACACGGATGCAGGTCAACATTGCAGTGCTGACATGGATAACATGAAGGGTAAATACCCGGAACACGTTTCTGAAGACGATGTCATTCAGTCAGCAGATGGAACTGGTCACTGGTCCACACAGGCAGGAGCTGCAGACTCTCCTTCAGGATGCGAGGACCCCTTGGACAGTGCTAATGTTGACACAGAACATACAACCGATCATACATACAGTTCTGCTACATATCTCCAAGATCAGGGCGTGTCTTCCAGCAGTCAAGCCAGTAACATCAGCATCGGCGGGAGAACCAGAACTCAGAATCACTCATCAATCTCGTCAAACAAAGATTTAGTCCCAGATTCTCCCTCTGAAAATTTACAAACGGGGTGTAATTTTCCCCTAACAGGCATTAACTCCTGCACATTGGAAGTTTTCATTCAAGATACCAAAACCAGCGGGCAGTTACAAACAGTTCGAGACAAATTATTTGAGATTGAAAAAGAATGGCAGTGTTCTAGAGCCATTGCTAATACTGCCAATCAAATTGGAGCTTGTGAAATCGCTGTCCAGAATCATTTGCCTGTCAGTATCACAGAAACAAATCCCTTTTGCCCTTCTGTGATGACAGTACAAGCTGGAAGTAAATCTGATCAAGACTCTTCCTGTCAATTTTCTAACGTGACATCTGTACCTGACTCTGTAACATCATTCCTATCACAAGTCAAATCGGCATGGACTGCTCAATTCAACATGACAAGAAGCTTTCTGGGTAGCACAATGCATGGACAGTGTTTGTCGGAGATGCTACATGGTTCTCTCGACCTTCTTGCAGCAGTGCTTGTAGGAGCCTACAGCACCCGCTGTACCCCTGTCTCACTACTGGAGACCCTGTATTCACACCCACACCACCTGGAGGAGATTACGCCTCTCCATGCAGAGGTAGACCCTGATGCTAAGTACAACATTGGAAACTACACTTTGTCGGGAAGGGACATCAATAGGCTTGAAGGTTCATCATGGTTAGACGACAGTGTAAGAAATCTCATCATTAACTCGTAATTCTTCTCTCTATGTACCTCTGAGCTTACACTTTATGTTAAGTACCGGGGTAAACATCTTTTTGTTCACTATGAATTGTATTAAGTTTTTTGATTGACAGTTCTTAGAAGTTGACTGATGACAAGGAGACCACAGACTTGCTTCACAATGGTATAAGGATCTTTATGAAATGTTGCTATAATAGTATAATATAGAAATTGTTATCCATAAACATTTGTCTACCTCGGTACTTTATGAATTGTATTAATCTGGCGTTTTTAGTACTTTTATTATTCATTATATGAAGACCAATATGCTATGTTGTGTTTCAGGTCATTCATTCATATCTGCATCTCCTCACGGTGAAATATAAGCAGCAGTATGGCGGCAAGGTGTTTGTCTTGGAATGCTTCCTGGCCACGCTATGGGAGAACCACAATTACACAGAGTGGCTGTTCCAAAAGGTAGACGTTCGCTTCCATGTAAACAATTTCAATACTTTTCATATCAGTAGAAGTCCTTGTACAGATGGACCTATTAATTAAGCGATTAACATTACTGCACTGTGTGATATGAGGAATAGCTCTGAGTTAAAGTGTTAAATATATACAGGTGATCTAGCTTTGCATTGAAAAGACAGCATGTTTATCTCCCATTCTTTCATGATAAAATTAAGTTAGAACTCTTTAGTGTTAGCTCTATGGTGTCAAATGTTTTCAGTGGGTTCTTAATCTGAATTAAGGAAACACCAATGATTAAGCAAAGTTTGGTGCAGTGTTTGCGCAAACATATTTTTTTATATCTTTAGCGTTTTCTTGCATATAAAATAGGCATAGCAAGTGTGTAGAACAGCAACTTTGTAAACCAACATGAAATCGGCATCCCTAAAGAACATTAAGCAAAACTCTCAAGTTTCAGTTCTACCTCACACGTCAATATTACAACGTCACACCACTCATTGTTTAAACATTGCAGAAAACATGATGTCACAGTCGGCTATAGAAAAGCCCCACATTTCAAGTCGTCTCAGGTCCATTAAACTTGAAACACACGCTCTTATCTGATTTCTATCATGCTTTCTGCCCAAAATGTATTGCCACAAATACTTTGAATATTGTAGAAACCACAACTCTGCAGTTTCTAACCTGTAATGACATAAATGTTATAATCATTTAAAAACTATGAACAATGACTGAGAAAGAAGTTTTTTTCTATAAATATAAGCTTCTACAGTGTTCCAGCCATCTCATCGGCATTTTCAGTCAGAGGTGTTTATTATGATTTGATACCCCTGATTAACCAATCAGATTCAGAGTAATTTAAAAATTCATGGAAGAACTATTCATAGTGTAAACTGTTTTCCAAACCGACAACAGTCATAGATTATAATTGTCCATTGAATACCCTAACATTTTACCATTTGTGTTTTATCTCAAGGACTACTCCAAGTTTCTAACAATGTCTCACAAGTGCAACTTCAGATATGGAAAGAGCACACGTGAAGGGTTGACACTTTAACACGTTTATATACATTAAGAGTTGTTGCTTTCAGGAGCACCTGATTGACTATGATTGGATCATGATGCCGGTGTGCCGCAGCAGTCACTGGGCGTTGATGGCAGCCAACGTCAAAGACAGAGCCATCAGTGTCATCGACTCCAGACCTTCAGTTCATCGTCAGACAAGCCTGGTACATCACTGGATGTAAGTAGGAAAGATATTGTCAGCTAGTGAGGCTCATCTGACATAAAGTCTAGTCATGGCCATGTAGTCAGCTGCTTGTGAGGCGTGCATCGTGTGTCATCGTTGTAAACATCTTCTTAAAAAAAACACTGGACATACTTTACATACTTGTTCACACCAATGATGATATCCCAGTTGTTTCTAGAGGTTCGAATACAAATTCAATATGGCCACTATGGCAGCCATATTTGAAAAGCTCTTTATGGCCATTACGTCATTTTGTCAAAATGGAACATCAATTGGTACATGTGTAGTAAGTAGTGAGGCTCAATATATATGTTCCAATTTTTCATACAAACTTTTTATGGTTAATATTCATCCATTTTGTTTCAAAATGTCATGAAATTTGGTTCTGGCTTAATTGGTGGTGGAACTGCACACACGTTCTGTGTTTTGCAATATTTTATATTTTTACCTTCTTTTGATCATGCCGTCAAAAGGCATAGCTGCTTTGTAAACATCTCCTCTCCTGAAATTGCTAGACTGCTGACAGCAACTCACTTTCAACTTTATAATAAAGGCAGTATCGTGGAAAGATCAATAATCTGACAATTGTTTGTTGTCATCTCACTTAAGCTGCGTAGTCATTTCTATGCACTGATGTCCTTTAGCACGAATCATTCCATGGTCTTGTCAATATGATTGAACATTTTATTAAGAATTATGTGTCAGTTACCAGGTATATTACTCAAATGTACGAGGGATTGCAGCCATATGGCAACGCCTATGTATGAGACTTAACTCTAATGTTGACAACAGACTTGACTAACTGTATTGACTCATCAGGAAGTACATGCAGTGTCGCAGTGACCAGACAGGGGAGGATCTGTGTGTGTGGCAGGAGTCTCACTGTCCTGTCTTCCCACAAACTGACGGCAGCAGCTGTGGAGTGTTTGTTCTTATGGTAGGTAACGAGGGTCATTTAAGAATATTTTACAAATCATACGACCCTATTCTCACTTTCAGAATAGATATAATATTGTAAATAAAAGTCCTTTGTACAATTCTGATTATGTCATGAGCATGCATTTATGAATCACTATCAAATATTGATGATACCAGGTGTTCACGAAGAGATGAGCGTATCCTGATCCACCAGTTGTGCCCATCACAAACACATGCAAAGGCATGTTAAATGTTCTCCAATGAACATAAGATACAACACCATGAGGAATTTTAGTACTACTGCTTAGCAAATTTCCCTTGTTTTGATTTTGTCAATTCCAGCAGAAATTCTGCATAAAAACACAAATCAGCAAGAAGGCAAGCATAATGACCATGAGGATAACTATCTATATATAGGATTGCCTATACAGAGGAGAGGTGAAATGGGGTTTAAAGTCGCATTCAACATTTTGTATTTACATAGCAACTTGCATACATGTGCGTTGCCGTGTGTGTGGCTGCTTGAACCTTTTCTGACTTACACCAGTTTTAGCACAATAGAGCCATGCGACAGTTTAACGTGGATACCCCACTCAGACACATTATGCTGATTTTAAGCAGGCCAGTCCTTGGCCTAGTATCATCTTTTAACCTCTTTTGGTAGGGCATGGCCGGAGATTGAAATATTGACCTTCCACTCTCCAGGTAGAAAATCTATCCACTGGAATACGCAGACAATGTGGAATGGACATGTCTTCAGGTTTTTTACACATTAAATAATTCACTTAAAATGACGCCTCCATGGTCTGGTGGATAGAGTGTCTGTCTGGAAAGTGGAAAGTGTCCTGTTCACATGCTTGCATGTGACATAGATGATGTTCAAATCTCTTCATTATGTTCAAATCTCTTCATTATTTCAGTGTGCTGAGGCGTTGTTATCTGGAGTCCATCCGGCAGTAATGAGGAATTACCATGTTAATGGGTACAGACAATACATAAAGAGCAGACTCATGTCAGCTGTGCAGGTGGCTGAGGACATCTCATTGATGGAAGATATGGAGGGTGCACCACTGACAGTTAGAGAAGTGGTGCAGGTGTCTGAGGACATCCACTTGGTGGAAGATAAGGAGGGTGCACCACCGACAGCTGGAGAAGTGGTGCAGGTGTCTAAGGACATCCACTTGGTGGAAGATATGGAGGGTGCACCACCGACAGCAGGAGAAGTGGTGCAGATGTCTGAGGACATCCACTTGGTGGAAGATATGGAGGGTGCACCACCGACAGCAGGAGAAGTGGTGCAGGTGTCTAAGGACATCCACTTGGTGGAAGATATGGAGGGTGCACCACCGACAGCAGGACAAGTGGTGCAGATGTCTGAGGACATCCACTTGGTGGAAGATATGGAGGGTGCACCACCGACAGCAGGAGAAGTGGTGCAGGTGTCTAAGGACATCCACTTGGTGGAAGATATGGAGGGTGCACCACCGACAGCAGGAGAAGTGGTGCAGGTGGCTGAGGACATCCACTTGGTGGAAGATATGGAGGGTGCACCACCGACAGCAGGAGAAGTGGTGCAGATGTCTGAGGACATCCACTTGGTGGAAGATATGGAGGGAGCACCACCGACAGCAGGAGAAGTAATGCAGGTGTGTGAGGACATCCACTTGGTGGAAGATATGGAGGGAGCACCACTTATAGCAGGAGAAGTGGTGCAGATGTCTGAGGACATCCACTTGGTGGAAGATATGGAGGGTGCACCACCGACAGCTGGAGAAGTTTGTCCAGTGGACAGTGAGAGACAAGGCAGAAGACTTGCAACAGAAGTTGGGCAGCTGATCAACATATCTGTAGTGACACCCACATCTACGACTGCACCGGTCTTATGTGCTGCCACTGATGTGGAGAGTATGACAGAAGAATTAAGGTCTGCATCTAAAGAGGAAACAACTTCTGAGAATGTAAAATCAAATGACTCACAAAGGTCATCGTCAAAGGATGTGATTGTTCTCGATACTGAGTCTGCACATGCTCAAGGAGCTGGCTCAGCTGATACACAATCTCCTCTGTTAGGTAAGTTTGATTTTATACAAAACACACTTCAAATGCAGTAGACAAGTAGTCTGAATGATACGTAGATCACCTTCAGGTTTGTGGGTCAGGGAACTAAAGTACCCTCATCAAAAGCAAGTATACACAACCCCTTATTGATGATGACATCAATGGGCATGTGGTCTCTCTCCTGTTCTCTTGAGAAAGTCCTGGATTATTTGAGCAGAGTGGGGCCTCGATTATTTGAGCAGAGTGGGGCCTTGATTATTTGAGCTGATTTGGGCCAGGCATTTTCCTTTTGCAACAGCATCCCTTGTGGATGTCTTATGAGAAAGGGAAGGACAACTGGGCGTTCAATTGTCCAAATCCTGCCGGACACCATGACGTCACTGCCTCCAATGTGGAGCCACTTGTTCACCTCCCCATCACCTGCATCCAGCCATCCAGATGGAACAAGCTCAACCTGTTCTCGTTGCTGAACAGTACACTTGAAAGTCATACATTGAGACCACTGTCTATTCGTCGATGTTGACAGGTCAAGGCCATTCTGTAGGATTGTTCCTCAATCTGGTTGTTTCGCTGAAGTGTCTGGCAAATGGGCAGTTGGCTGAATCCTAGTGTTCTTGCAATATGGACATGTATTGCCCATCAGTGCCATTCCAAGACCGTCTCACTCTGTTTTGGTGATAACTTTGGTATTTGATCATCAGCTTATTAAAAAAGATCCATCTATCATTGAATGCTTTTTATCTATTTTTAGTAGGTTCATTCATATTTGATATGATGCCATCCTATTTTGGATAGCAAGATAATTAATTGAACATTTATATCAAACAGTGTTTGTGGCTGGTAACTTTTCTGTCAGGCTGCATGAAATTTTCCTCCATCTCCCCAACTGTCTGGAAGATAAATCTAAGACTTCAGTTTAATTATAACTCCTTGTATAGATTCTCAAGCGGTTGTTTACATTATTTCAACTTTATCAAGATGAGATTTGTGGGCAGTAACTCACCTGCCCGACTGTATTGTAAGGTTTTAAGATTATTTCAAACACTGATATAATACTCTTCTTTCAGATCCTGACCTACAGCCATCAGCAGATCTGAAATCACAGTGCCAGATGTTATTTCAAAAACACAAGATCCATTTTGCTGCCCTTACAGTTGTTTGTCTGCAAGATGGAAAACTCAGCATGTCACATGTTGAAGAAGCATCTGAGAACTCGTTACTTAAAACCCACATGATGTGGGCAAGCACCTTGTCAGGAGCTGATAGCATTAAGCTGAATAACATGTTTACAACATCGCTGCATCACATGAGAGGAAATCTACTGACGGAATCCGATGGGATATTTACACTTCAGAATATATATGCAATTACAATTGTCACTGCCATACTGACAGATCATTCAGCAGATTACATGGACATCATCGATATCATGTTCCTGTACAGGCATGTCAGACTGCTGGACGAACACTCTGCTTCCTGTGAGAAGTTTGTCATCTGTTTGAGTAGATTCCAACAGAGGCTTTTGATGAAGAGATTTTCACATGAGATACTCCAGCATAGGTTTGCCTTCGTCCTGTCACATGAGGCATGTGGATCTCACTCATTTTGTGTTCGACTTTTGAAGGAAGTCCAGAGTGGGATGGAGGAGGATACTTTGAAAGACTTGGTCCAGACATCTGACAGAATACATGGTTGTTCCTTCTCTCATTGGCTGTCAATGGGAAAGCACCTGGAACTGTATAGATCAGTGGCTGTGTTCCTGTCAGATAGTGACACTTGTGAATGTATGATAGGTTGTTGTCTGACAGGAAATGCTGCCCTCCTGGAGCTAATACTCCAAACGATGGATTCCGAGGTAGCAAATTCAGCCCTGCCAAAGTGTCGATATCTACCTGTTATCGCTGAGCCAAGTGACATAAAAATACTTGACACGCACCTGCTGCCTCCGCTCCATCTGGCTTGTTACTATGGCAACCGAACTGTTGTTTCTATTCTAACTGAGCATAACTTTGAAATCAACAAGCAGGTTTCAGGTGGCAAGGAAGATGGAGCAATACCAGCTGAATCCACACCAATCTCTGTGGCTTCACTCCAAGGACACACAAGTACTGTGGAACTCCTGCTGAAGCATGGAGCCAACGTTGAAGTTGTTGATGTCAATTACAACACTCCTCTGCACATCGCATGCATTCAGAGACATAGAGACATTGTCACTACTATGGTTGCAGCCTGTAGAGGAATTATGTCTGAGAGAAATATTGACGGGAACACTCCAATTCATTTAGTTTGTCAGACAGGAGACATTAATATTGTTGAAATTCTTTTGAATCTTGATTGCGATTGCTCTTTGTTGAACTATGGTAACTACCTACCACTTGATATAGCATGTGAGCAAGGGGATGAAGGTGTGGTAAAGGCATTGCTACACAAGTGGGGTTACCCAGTACCATATGACGGATCCGACACACCCCTGCACAAAGCATGTCGAGCAGGCTTCCCATGGATTGTACAGCTCCTTCTTATGTATGATGCGGAAAGATCAGTAAATGTGGATGCTGGACACCCACTGTTGATAGCTATTAAACAGAACAGGCCTTGCATTGCAAGTATGTTGATGACAAAGAAGACATCCATGTTAGTGTTGGATGGTTATGGTAACACAGTTCTGTGGAGTGCCTGTAAAGGGGGACATGTGGAGATAGTGAAACTATTGGTGGAGAATGGGCTGGATGTATCACAGTCTGATTATGATAACACAGCTCTGGAGAGTGCCTGTGAAGGGGGAGATGTGGAGATTGTGAAACTATTGTTGGAGAATGGGCTGGATGTATCACCGTCTTATTATGGTGGCAGAGCTCTGTGCAGTGCCTGTAAAGGGGGACATGTGGAGATTGTGAAACTATTGTTGGAGAATGGGCAGGATGTATCACATTCTTATTATGGTAACAGAGCTCTAGAGAGTGCCTGTGAAGGGGGACATGTGGAGATTGTGAAACTATTGTTGGAGAATGGGCTGGATGTATCACAGTATGATTGTTGTGGCAGAGCTCTAGAGATTGCCTGTGAAGGGGGACATGTGGAGATAGTGAAACTATTGGTGGAGAATGGGCTGGATGTATCACAGTATGATTGTTGTGGCAGAGCTCTAGAGATTGCCTGTGAAGGGGGACATGTGGAGATAGTGAAACTATTGGTGGAGAATGGGCTGGATGTATCACAGTATGATTATGGTGACACGGCTCTAGAGATTGCCTGTGAAGGGGGACATGTGAAGATTGTGAAACTATTGGTGGAGAATGGGCTGGATGTATCACAGCCTGATTATGGTGACACGGCTCTAGAGATTGCCTGTGAAGGGGGACATGTGGAGATAGTGAAACTATTGTTGGAGAATGGGCTGGATGTATCACAGTATGGTTATGCTGGCAGAGCTCTAGAGATTGCCTGTGAAGGGGGACATGTGGAGATAGTGAAACTATTGGTGGAGAATGGGCTGGATGTATCACAGTATGATTATGGTTACTATCTGTGGAGTGGCTTTAAAGAGGGGCATGTGGAGATAGTGAAACTATTGATGGAGAATGGGCTGGATGTATCACAGTCTTATTATGGTGGCAGAGCTCTAGAGAGTGCCTGTGAAGGGGGACATGTGAAGATAGTGAAACTATTGTTGGAGAATGGGCTGGATGTATCACAGTCTGATTATGGTGGCAGAGCTCTAGAGAGTGCCTGTGAAGGGGGACATGTGAAGATAGTGAAACTATTGTTGGAGAATGGGCGGGATGTATCACAGTATGATTATGGTTACTATCTGTGGAGAGCCTGTAAAGGGGGACATGTGGAGATAGTGAAACTATTGATGGAGAATGGGCTGGATGTATCACAGCCTGATTATGGTAACACGGCTCTAGAGAGTGCCTGTAAAGGGGGGCATGTGGAGATAGTGAAACTATTGGTGGAGAATGGGCTGGATGTATCACAGTATGATTATGGTGGCAGAGCTCTAGAGAGTGCCTGTAAAGGGGGACATGTGGAGATAGTGAAACTATTGGTGGAGAATGGGCTGGATGTATCACAGTATGATTATGGTGGCAGAGCTCTAGAGAGTGCCTTTAAAGGGGGGCATGTGGAGATAGTGAAACTATTGATTGAGAATGGGCTGGATGTATCACAGTCTGATTATGGTGGCAGAGCTCTAGAGATTGCCTGTGAAGGGGGACATGTGGAGATAGTGAAACTATTGGTGGAGAATGGGCTGGATGTATCACAGTCTGATTATGGTTACACAGCTCTGTTGAGTGCCTGTGAAGGGGGACATGTGGAGATTGTGAAACTATTGTTGGAGAATAGACTGGATGTACCACAGTCTGATCATGGTGTTTCAGTTCTAGGGAGTGCCTGTGAAGGGGGACATGTGGAAATTGTGAAACTTTTATTGAAATTGTTGCTGAAGAAATGTGTGGATGTGTCCTTCACTTTCAAAGTTTTGTTAAGAGTCTGCGCAAACAGACAAACTGATATATTTAGGTGTTTCGTCGACAGAATGGAAACAGAACAACGACTGTGTGATATATTTAGTCAACAGGACGAAGATGGAAACACAGTTATACATTATTGTTGTGTTACAGGCAGCAGGGATGAAATTTTGATGCTCCTGACTAAAGTCCCATTTTCTGTCTTCAACATGGTTAATGTTAATGGAGACACACCACTAGATCTAGCAGTGAAACATGGTCATATACACATAGTGAGAGATCTTATTACTTTTACGGAAATAAGTTATGCAGCACCTAAACTGTTCAAAATGGCTATTAGACTTGGTGATGCACATACAGTAATGCTGTTGTCAAAGAGATCTGTTGGAAAAATAATTGGAAATAACTGGAACAAAGAGGAACTCATGAAACTTTTGAAGGATGTAGCTAATGAAGGTAGTTTTGCTATTTACCAGATTCTCAGCAACATGTTACAAAAAGCATTGAACACAAAAAAGTTGGAATCTTGGTGTCCATCAGTTCATATTTGTAAAGACCTTATTCAAAATGGGTGTTGTGCATCTGATGATGTTATGACAAAGCTGTTGGGCATGAAGAATGCTCTTCTGTTGGACATGTTAATAGATGTGGGATATTTGAGGACAAGCAATACCATTCACAGTACAAAAGCCATGGATATAGCATGTAAGCTAGGACTAGCAAATATTGTTGAAAAGATAGCCCTTTTTGGTGTTCCTGTCATCTGCCAGAATAATCCTGGCCAAATGTTTTTGCATACGGCATGCAGGTATGGCCATGACAATATCACAAGTCTGCTCATCAACAAAGGTGCAGAGGTAAACCAAGCTGATGATAGTTTGAATACACCTTTGCACATAGCATGCAGAAATGGAAATATATCAAATATAAGAATTCTTTTAGAAGCCAGTGCACATGTCAATGCAAGAGACACCAATGGCGCAACACCCCTTCTGTTAGCATGTAAGTTGAGACACAGCAAGGTTGTCAAACTATTGATGGATGTTGGAGCAGATGTATCAACTTCAAATGATGCTGGTGAAACATGTCTCCATTTGTGCTGTGAACGAGGAAAACTGTCTCTAGTTGAAATGCTTCTGGATGCAGGAGCACCTGTAGACAGCAAGGGACCTAATGACATAACCCCACTTCTGATAGCATCAAAGCATGGATATACAGACATTGTAAAAACACTTGTGCGTCATGGTGCTAAAGTATCTAATATAGACATTAATGCCAATTCATGTCTTCATCACTTTTGCCGACTTGGAAAAACTGAAACAGTGAAATTTTTACTTGATGCTGGAGGTAATGCGTCTATTGCAAACAAGGTAGAAATGACATGTTTTCACATAGCATGCCTGATGAACCATCTGCAGCTTGTGGATATGCTGCAAGGATATGCACCAGCTATTACCTACAACCAAAGTCAACAATTCCAAATAATGTCAAAATCATGTAAACGTGGACAAGACTCAATCGTTGACCTATTAGTAAAGAATGGATGGAATCCGTCCATTACAAATGGGAAGAATGAAACACCTCTGCATATGGCCTGCAAATACAGACAGACACTTGTACTAAGGGTTCTGTTGAGACACAATGCTAATGTTTTTGCAAAAAGCGATACAGGAGACATACCATTCACAAGTATCCTTGCTTGTCCTCGGATGTTCAAGGTGTTTTGTCAAGTGTACCCAGATGTATCCATGTGTGATGATGAAAGGAACAGTGTTCTACACCAAGCGTGTATGAAAGGACTCCAAGAGTGTGTTGGTATCCTGTGTGAGAGGGGAGCAAGGGTAGACATTAAAAACAGCCTTGGCTATTACCCAGTTCATGTGGCTGCTGAAAACAATAATGCCCCCATCTTGAAAACTCTCTTGAAATATAATGCTGATATATCAGTCAAAGATAATGAAAATCAAACCCCTCTTCATCATGCTTGTGATGAGGGTCGCACCGAATCTGTTTCTATGTTAATTGAAGCAGGAGCTGACATTGATGCCAGAGATTCACATTCATCAACACCTTTACACCTTGCTTGTAGAAATGGACATCTTCCTGTTGTACAGTTCCTGACAGAGAACAACGCAGATATCAACCATCTTGATAATCAACACAACTCTGGCCTTTGTATTGCCTGTGAGAACGGTCATGCAGACATTGCATCATATTTGTTTGGAAAGGGTGTTTCAATTCACATCAAGGGACATCGTGGAAACACACCACTCCACAGAGCATGCTCCCAGGGCCATGCCACCATTGTAGAACAGTTGCTTTTGAATGGGGCAGATCCACTAGTAGAAAACACAAATGGAAATATTCCTTTGTATCATGCTGTCCTCTGGGGCCATGTTAAAGTTATAAGGGTACTTCTCGATAAATGTCTGCCATTGTTTCAGCTACATGTCAAAGGTCACAGATTTCTTAAAGAAGCGTGTGCACGAGGTCATCTTGACGTAATACAAGACCTCCTTGATCATGGTGCAGGTGCGTCACTTCAACAATGTGACATGAGGCCACTAGTGAATGCTGCACTGGAGACTAACAGACTTGAGTGTCTTATCAAGATAGTGAAAGATGTCCTTGATGATGCAGATGTTAACGGGAAAACCATCCTCCATATACTGTGTGAATCTGACAATACTCCCCTGGACTGGATTAAGAAGGTTGTTGAATGTGGGTCAAATGTGTGTCCACCTAGCTCAAAGGATGGGAAATTGCCCCAACATATATGCAGTGAAAATGGGAGAGAGGACATCCTGCACTTTATACTTGACAAGGGTGGTGACAAACTTGCTAAAGACAATGCTGGTTGGACTGTACTTCACTATGCCTGTGTGAATGGGAACTTTGTCCTTGCAGAATGGCTGATTAAGGATGGATTTGATATAAATATTCAAGACAACTCTGGAAATTCCCCACTGGATTTGGCAATATTGAATAGCAGATATGAAATAACTTGTCTTTTTGATCTTTCATATATATGTACACAACATAATGCACATTTAAACAGTCACTCAGTCAGGCACATCTGTTGTGAAAATCAGGTAGAATTTTTGTCATTGTGCCTCAAATGCAGGGTAATGTTTAACTGCGACCTGACAGGTAACAGCCTCCTCCATGTGGCATGTGATGAAGGGAAACCAGAGATTGTTCAACTGCTCACATCAGCTGGATGGTTTCCATGTGAGACAAATGCAATAGGAGAGACCCCGGTACACTTAGGATGTGGAGATCCAAACATTTTGGCTGTTATATTCAACACAGTTCTAGACAGGCAACTTTCCAAGAAGATGATGATGACTCAAGACACGGATGGCAATACACCTTTACATGTTGCTACATATGAAAGGTGTTCTGAAAATGTGGCATTGCTGCTGGAAAGAGGGGCAGATGTAAACATTGTAAACATGCACAAGCAAACGGTCTTGCATGTGGCATGCCAGTGTGGGGATGAAAATATAGTAGCTTTGTTTCTATCAGCGAAAGCAGATATATGTGCACTAGATGCACACGGTGACACACCATTGCATACTGCTTGCCAAGAAGGACACATCAATGTCCTTAAACTTCTCTTACTTCATGGAGGTATGTTAGACTGTGTTAACAAACAAGGACAAACAGTCCTTCACATTGCATGCGCTTCTGGTCAACCAAGTCTTCCTGACATTTTGGAAGTGGTTGCTGATAAAGATGCTTTGAAACGAGCACTTTGTGTCAAAGACTGGGAAGGAAACACACCTATACATGTTGCTGCAGGTGTAAACTGGTCAGAAGATATGAATCATCTCGTAAAGGTTGCAGATGTTAGTATGCGGAACAACGTCAATCAAACTGCTCTACACATAGCATGTACAGAAGGAAACAAGGCAGCTGTTCACTGTCTCCTCCGGGCTGGATCAAACGTAGCTGAAACATACCTCATAGGGGACACACCACTCCATATTGTGTGTCACAATGGATGTCTTGATTTGGTAAAGATGGTCATTCAACATGGAGGTGACACTGAGGCTGTTAACAAGGCAGGGAGAACACCACTGCATGAAGCAGCCTTCTGTGGACATGTGGACGTAGTGAAATATCTCAGTGAATGTGGTTGTGATATTAAGGCACTAGATAATACAGGAAATAGTGTTCTGCATCTGGCATGTAAATCTGGAAGCTCTGGCACAGTGGAAATGTGTCTTGCTGAAAAGGTTAAACCAAACATATATGGCAACACCCCTCTCCATGTTGCTGCCGGGTCTAGCAACAAAGATGTGGTAACAATGATTCTATTGAAAGGATATAATGTGAATGCTGCCAACAAGCATGGAGAAACACCGCTTTTCTTTGCCTGTTATCATGGAAGGACTATCACAGCTACAGAATTACTCCGATCTGGGGCTGAGATGGATGTTTCTAACACTGAAGGATACACACCATTACACATGGCCAGTCTGATGGGACATCTGGACACAGTGCTTCTTCTTCTGGCATTCAAACCTAATCTTGAAGTGAGATCATGCAGTGGGAGCACCCCACTTCACCTAGCTTGCCAAGGTGGGTCTGTAGGTGCTGCTGATGCTTTACTGAAGGCTGGAGCTAGAGTTGACTCGGTTGACAGGGATCTTAACACCCCACTACATATTGCCTCAGACAACAGCAGTGAAGACATGATCAGCCTGCTGGCAAGGTGGGATGTCAGTGCAGGTCCAAAGAATGTATTAGGTGACACACCTCTTCATGTGGTCTGTAAAAGAGGATTTGAACACATGATCATCAGTGTCTTAAAACTAACATGTGACATCCTACATGAAAACAAGGAAGGCAAAACACCATTGCAATTAGTGTGTGAAAAAGGGTTTACACATATTTTAGAAATTCTTCTAAACAGACTTTGGGTATGTCAGAACCTCAAACAACCAAATCTTCAGAAAGATTTGACCAAGTGTAACCATAAGCTTTACTTCAGTAGATACCTTCATATGGCCTGTGAAGGAAAACACTGTGGCATTGTCAAACATCTACTACAGCACAATGCTGATGTGAATCATAAGGGCAAGACAGGGGACACACCTTTAGTAACAGCATGTAGAGTAGAAGCTCCCGACATTGTGAAATTGTTGGTGGAGTGCGGAGCTGATATACTGTTCCAAGACAAAGATGGACTGTCTCCGCTACACATCACCTGCAGAAAGGGCAACAAAGATATTGTCAATGTACTTTTGGAAAAAGGAGCAAATTTTGGAGTGATGGATAAACATGGACGTTCACCATTGTTTGAAGCTGTTGAGAATGCACATTTAGAAATTGTGTCATTGTTGATAGCACTGGGTGCAAATGTGCGTCTTCAAAACAGATACTACCGCACACCACTCCATGAAGCATGTTGGGAGGGACATACAGAGTGTGTAAGGATGCTCATGAGAGCAGGAGCGGAGTTAGATGTTCCAAATCGCTATGGCAACACGCCCCTCCACAATGCATGCATGCAGAGACACAGGGAGGTAGTGGATGTTCTGCTTCAGGGTGGAGCTGAAGTCTCACCAGTGAACAAGAGGAACATGACCCCACTTCACTACGCATGTCTCTTGGGACTGGCTGGCACTGTAGATCTCCTTGTCAAGGCAGGGGCAGATGGTAATTTCACAGACTCAAAAGGCAGGACCCCTGTGGACATGTGCTCAAGACAAGACCTTGTCACCATCTTGACAAATAGGTAAACAATAAGTCTGCATTATGCATTTCCTTCCTTTAAAAATTGTATATGTGTACAGTCAAACTTAAGTGGGTACTCTATCCAGTTTAAACAATTTAATAGTTATGATTATATTTCTCACACATTGATATATAGGGTGGAATGAGATAGTTTCAATTCTTTCAGTATTATATTTTAATGATTATGGATTGTATCCTGATGACGTGTATCATTGATCATAATACTGATCACTGGATTTGTCTTGTCAAGACTTGACTGTTTACACCCTGCCCTATTATTGCCGAGTGTGGCGCTTGGCAACAAACAAACACTTCTTTTTTACTGAAAATTGTGGTGTTGTGTGAGTGTTAAGTGCTACCGGTAGGGCAGGACATGCTTACCATTTTCACGAATCCCTGATGCAAAACTGATTGTCAGTTATCCATTCATGTAATTTAATGAATGTGTTTTCTATTCCAGACATGCTGCTAATTCTGGGAGAAAGAGAACAAGTGGGAAAGTGTGTGATGGTGACTTGCCTCCCAGTAAGCGACGACGGTTTCAGGACAGTCTTGACAAGGTATGTATCATGTTAATGCAACAATATCGTGTGTAACAACTTGGAAAACAACATACTGCAAATATATTTCTTTTTTATTTAAATTCTTATCTGTACTCATCAGTTACATCCTAAAAACTACTATAGAGATGATTTAGATCCAAACCTGTATTGTAAAGCTTAGTTTGTCTAAATAATACTGGCCTTAATAATATGTAGCTGGTAGTATCCACCCTAAAAAATGATGGATGACAGAGTTCATGAGGAATCTTTATTCAAGCACCCAACAACACACTTGTAATTAAAGAAGACCAATAAAACAGAAAAAAAAACATAACTGCATGTTAGACTTTGCCATATGTGATCATGTATATAACACAATTACAAGGTAACATTAAGCAAAAACTCACACAAATTCATGCCACATTCATCCCATTCAAATTATATTAAAAAAAACAGAATATAAACAAACAGATTCTACACCTAGAATCAAGAGAAATGTTTTGGAATTCAGCATTAAATCATATATAATACAGACCGAAAATAAAGGCTAGCCTTACGCAATCGGTGGGCAATGCCAAGGACACCCATGAACTATTACATCCTTTGTTGCTATCGAGATATCACTATGACACAACCTGATCAAGTAAACTATAAACTTTACTCATAAATAAAACATATAAACATGACTAGACCAATTATCAAATCAAGCTATACATAAATACAATTACACTAACTCTTCAACAATATTATAACTCTGAATTTACATACCGGTAAGTACAACCTTCTACATTTTCTTGCCAAATAGAAATAACATAACTTCATGAACATACCTTTAAAATACATCTTATACAGATAACCAAACAAAGCAATGAATAAACTTCAAACCTTAAACATACTACTGACAAGTACCCAATCAAATGTAATAGGCCATATAAACACTCAACATGTGACCACAACAGAAACTTCTTTGAAGACTCTGACAAATGAACATAATGGGAGAGTAAAGCAGAGTGATCAAAAGGTCACACTACCAAACTATATATTCACACTTGTCACCCAATCAAACCCTTCAAAAAACTTGAGATACACTTCACCACCAGAAACATTGTCAAAGTTGTGTTTATGAGATACACTTCACTACCAGAAACATTGTCAAAGTTGTGTTTATGAGATACACTTCACTACCAGAAACATTGTCAAAGTTGTGTTTATGAGATACATTTCACTACCAGAAACATTGTCAAAGTTGTGTTTATGAGATACACTTCACTACCAGAAACATTGTCAAAGTTGTGTTTATGAGATACACTTCACTACCAGAAACATTGTCAAAGTTGTGTTTATGAGATCTGTTCAATGTTGAACATTAGCAAGAAACCTGAAATAGATCTGAATGTACATAAAAAGAATAAAACAACAAAACAAATTGTCTGCTTGTTTGACTCTGCTACAAATACTAAAAAAAGTAATATTTGATATTCTTTGGGAGGCTTGGAATTGTTATGGACAGAACATATTTTCAATCACCGCTTCACGACATACAAATTTTTGTCTGAGAAGAGGAACTGAACAGTTTTTATTTCAAAGGTCTAAAACATTAGGCAATTCTTTTTTTCATGTACCACACTCCACAGCTATTTGTTAGTCATCTAATAGCAACCATGTATGATCTAATAAAACCCTAGACATTGGATGTCTCCTGTATCTCATAGTCTTCCATGACATTCTAGTTATTGGTCAACAAAAAATATATCTTCTAAATATATATTTCACTCATTCTAAATATTTCACTCCTAACTAAAGACATGCAAGCCCTTGTGAAAAAAATTCTTGTTCAATGTCTGTTACAGTCTAAAGACCAAACTGACAAGAATGAAGAGATGGAACTTCTGTCTTGGAGTCTGCTTACAGGACACTGCCACTACCTCTGATATACACTGAGTGGGGGATACAGACTTCATATCCCCCTGTGAGGCACATGGATCAGTGTATACCATAATATGGCTGCTCGTTATGTGCACATTATCTGGCAGCTCCACAATGTGTGTTCAGATAGATAGGTGTGTGATCTATGTATTTGATATGCACACTTATAGGCATGCTTATATGTAGCAAAAAATGGCTTTAACATTGATTTATGGATGTAATTATGGAAATGTATATCAGGATGTCAAAATAGAAAGTCATTTAATGAATATTAATATAAGTGTAAGAAATGTGAATATGGACACTGTGGTTAGGATTTAAACAGAATATTGTTGTAGTAAATGCATTTGAATCCAACTTAATGTAAATATGTACATATAGCAGTTATGTTAGGATGTGCAAAATAGAATATGATTACCGGTATAACAGTAGGTGAATAAATAAAATTAATGTAAATATGAATACTGATGTTAGGATAACCAATGTAACCTATCAATATATATGACCAACCATGCGATAAGGGACCTTATGGGTGAAAAATCACATTTTGACTTTTCATAATATTTTAAAACTTCAGCATCTCCGGCACACAAAAAAACAATTCACAAGCTTCAATTCATATTTATCACAGAGATACATGACATTAAACATTTGAACTCATTTTTCTATTATAACTGTTTATGTAATAATTACAGTTTTTAGATATAATGCCTGATGAATTGAAAGTAAACCTGAAGGGTTTTGAAGTAATGTTTTTATTTCATTGCAAACTAACAAGAGAAAAATAAGATGTTTTTTGTACAGTCTGCACACATGGCAATCTTCACTGAAGTAAGTTCACTTATGACTTATAAAAAAAGCGACAATAAACATTTCAATACACATAAGAAATCATAAGTAATAAGAGTTGATTGTACAATTCTGACACTATGATAAACGTGTTTATGAATTACTCTTAAATAGTGATGATCCCTGGTGTTTATAAAATGGTGAACATATCCTGCCTCACCAGTGCCACGCATCACAAACACATGGAAAGACAAGTCAATTGTTCACTTTTCCTCTGCCTGTTACGCATTTATAGTAATTCAAAAAAGATTTTATTGAAAGTGTTGTATTCGTTTGTAAATAATACGACGACAGAAGATACAAGTTAAATACCCATATGTTACAAAAGCAGATGACAAACAAAACTTGACACATGTTCTTGGTAGAAGAAATGAAATTTCTCAAATATGTGTTGATTCTTAAAATGTGTAAATAATCTCAATAAATCTATAATATACCAGAAACATGACATGGTCTTTCCTAAAATATAAGTTATGTGCACCTAAAACATTGCTTGTAATAACTATGTAGTGTGGGCTGATACTAGAATGTAAACTGGGAATATACATTTATATGCAGCTCATGTAAATATGGACACCAATGTTAGAATGTGAACAGAGAATATGCAATAATATGCAGCTCATGTAAATATGGACACTAATGTCTGGATGTAAACATAGAATATGCAAATATATGCAGCTCATGTAAATATGGACACTAATGTTAGAATGTGAACAGAGAATATGCAATTATATGCAGCTCATGTAAATATGGACACTAATGTTAGGATGTGAACAGAGAATATGCAATTATATGCAGCTCATGTAAATATGGACACTAATGTTAGGATGTAAACAGAGAATATGCAATTATATCCCGCTCATGTAAATATGGACACTTATGTCAGGATGTAAACAGAGAATATGCAAATATATGCAGCTCATGTAAATATGGACACTAATGTTAGGATGTAAACAGAGAATATGCAAATATATGCAGCTCATGTAAATATGGACACTAATGTTAGGATGTAAACAGGATATGCAATTATATGTAGCTCATGTAAATATGGACACTAATGTTAGAATGTGAACAGAGAATATGCAATTATATGCAGCATGGACACTAATGTTAGCATGTAAACAGAGAATATCCAATCATATGCAGCTAATGTAAACATGGACACTTATGTCAGGATGTAAACATAGAATATGCAATTATATGCAGCTAATGTAAAAATGGACAGTAATGTCAGGATGTAAACATAGAATATAGTTTCATCAATATGACCTTTAATGTAAAAAATGTAAATATGGACACTGATGTCAGGATGTAAACATAGAATATGGTTTCATCAATATGACCTTTAATGTAAACAATGTAGATATGGACAGTAATGTCAGGATGCAAACATAGAATATGGTTTCATCAATATGATTCTCAATGTAAACAATGTAAATATGGACACTTATGTCAGGATGTAAACATAGAATATGGTTTCATCAATATGATTCGCAATATTTGAACAATGTAAATATGGACACTTATGTCAGGATGTAAACGTAGAATATGGTTTCATCAATATGATTCGCAATATTTGAACAATGTAAATATGGACACTGATGTCAGGATGTAAACATAGAATATGGTTTCATCAATATGACCTTTAATGTAAACAATGTAAAAATGGACACTTATGTCAGGATGTAAACATAGAATATGGTTTCATCAATATGACCTTTAATGTAAACAATGTAAATATGGACACTAATGTCAGGATGTAAACATAGAATTAATCAATATGACCTTTAATGTAAACAATGTAAAAATGGACACTAATGTCAGGATGTAAACATAGAATATGGTTTCATCAATATGACCTTTAATGTAAACAATGTAAATATGGACACTAATGTCAGGATGTAAACATTGATTATGGTTTCATCAATATGACCTTTAATGTAAACAATGTAAATATGGACACTAATGTCAGGATGTAAACATTGATTATGGTTTCATCAATATGATTCTCAATGTAAACAATGTAAATATGGACACAAATGTCAGGATGTAAACAGAATATGGTTTCATCAATATGATTCTCAATGTAAACAATGTAAATATGGACACAAATGTCAGGATGTAAACAGAATATGGTTTCATCAATATCCATTTCAATGAAACTATGTAAATATGGAGATATACATGTCAAAATGTGAACATAGAAGATGCTTTTATCAGTATGAATCAAAGTGTTAGTAATCTATACATACAAGGAACCATGGAAATGTATCCAGGTAACAGTTTTTCCACTTAAAGGGTTTCACTTATTAGATATAAAATTATCATAATTATTTAGTGAGTGTGCCAAAGGAGAGTATCTACTGAAGAGGTTTGTTCACTTGTAAGGTTTCTACTTAGCGAGAATTCACTGAATATTAGTTTCATCAATGTGACCTTTAATGTAACATATGCAAATGTGGTCACAATGTCAACAAAAATTATGTTTTTATCCACAAGTTTCAAGTGCAACTAATGTAAGTAAGGATTCTGATGTTCAACTTCAGAATGACCTTTATCCGACCAATGAAAGCGTCGCTTACCAGATCATGAAAGTCACAGTCGGAATGTGTTTTCTAATCATGCAACCTTGAAAATGTTAACACGGGGTATTCCTAACGACAGTTTTGGCCAATACGACTGATTCCGTCAAAATTATCGTCTATCTCTCGGATAAACATTTGAAGGGAGGAGGCGTTGCACAGTACGTGGGAAGCACTGCCATACAATCTCAACCATATATTAGACATATATTTAGTTTTCAAAATTTTAATCGAGAACTGTGTCAACATATCTTTCAAGCGTAGCCTGAAATGGAAGTCGCCAGGTTGAAATGAGCGCCGTAAAGCTAGAGAAAGCTGCTTTTTAATTCGCTGATGTCTACTTCTTCTTAGTCATTTCAGTGGTCGGTCAAAATTTGCGAAAGGTCATTCTGACGTGACCCGTAATGGGATGTCCTCAGATCTTTGTTTAGCGGCAGCGAGAACTTAGATCTGATTTTAATGAGATTGTCTGATGTTAGGATGTAAACAGACAGATGGTTTCTTTCAATATGGTGTTCTGCTTGAAAATACACCAAAGTAGAAGTATGATTATTTTTCATAATTGTTCTTTGTGATTGTCATTGCCCTGTCGGAATGTTTCAGGTCAGTTTAGTGTACATCAGAACCATGATATCCATGTGCAGTTATTTATCATAGTTACATTGTTTACTGTGCCACATTCATCTGATAACATATACTAAACAAAAAAAGTTAGAGATAATATCCTGGGGGATATTATTGTATTTTTGTTTTAGCATATCAAAGTTTACTTCAGAAAAGGCGTAGATTTTATACAATCAACATTTGAGTCTGAGCTTGATACCAGTAGCATCTGTTTGTGAGTGAGTCTGAGCTTGATACCAGTAGCATGTTTGTGAGTGAGTGAGTGAGTCTGAGCTTGATACCAGTAGCATGTTTGTGAGTGAGTGAGTGAGTGAGTCTGAGCTTGATACCAGTAGCATGTTTGTGAGTGAGTGAGTCTGAGCTTGATACCAGTAGCATGTTTGTGTGTGAGTGAGTCTGAGCTTGATACCCGTAGCATCTGTTTGTGAGTGAGTGAGTGAGCGAGTCTGAGCTTGATACCCGTAGCATCTGTTTGTGAGTGAGTGAGTGAGCGAGCGAGTCTGAGCTTGATACCAGTAGCATCTGATTGTGAGTGAGTGAGTCTGAACTTGAAACCAGTAGCATCTGTTTGAAAGTGAGTGAGTCTGAGCTTGATACCAGTAGCATCTGTTTGTGAGTGAGTGAGTGATTCTAAGCTTGATACCAGTAGCATCTGATTGTGAGTGAGTGAGTGATTCTAAGCTTGATACCAGTGTCACGCTGTGCTAATTAGCGTCATTTCTCTTCCAATTTTCTCAGTCAATATTATATGTATTTGTACAGTTTGAAAGAGAACTGTATTCTCCACCTTCATGTGTATTTGCTTTTATTGTCACTTTTCAACTTTTTATGTAATTCATGAGTTTGGGTCACTGAACACATATTTTGCGCTTGTGTATTTGCTGTTTATTGTCCCTACCAATTTCATTTGAATATTTAGTGTTGTATATTTTATATCAGTGTATAGAACTTTTTATGACCTATACGCTCATAGTTCATATGTGTATATACTCATAATATAATTTTAGTTATATTACAAAAAACGTGTTCTAGAAAACACACTCTCATTAACAAGACAGGGTTGTTTAGCCTTAGCCAACATGAATAGGCTTATCTCCCATTGGTTAATTAATTAATTAAGTGGCCAATTAGTGATGGTCAATTAGAGGCTCTTTCTTTTAAAGGCCGACTCAAATCTTAAGTAAATCAGTAACGTCTCGGCGGACCCAGGTCACGCTGCTGGCTGCTCACTGCTGTCTTACTGCTGGACCGACTTGGACTCTTTGACGGGATTTGGTGAGATCTTGAACTGTAAATGTTTGGATAACTTTGTCATACCCACATTTGCTTATCTTACCCCTTATTATACCCTTTTTGTAAGTTCGTAGACTATTCTGCTTGCTCTTACATTTTATTATAGGGTTAGATGTACTTGTAAGTTCATAGAACTAGCTATTTGTATCTTACAGTACTTTGGGAAGATATTTTGGGTAAAATCCTTATTTACGCTTAAAGCGTTGTAGTTCTTTTAAATCCATTTATTATCCCTTAGAGGTTATTATCCTGTCCTTTTGAGTCCCCGCTAATTGGTCCAATTAAGAGCTTATGTTAATTGGTCACAGCTCATTGTCTCAAGGTGTGAATTCCTGTCAGACGGAGACGTTAGCATATCCATTTTCTTGTCTAGCGTCCGGTGAGATTGGTTAGCACAGCCTATTTAGTTGTGAGTTTGTCAATTAGCTCCACACTCAGGTGTTTATCTATCAGGTCCTACATACCTGTTGTTGTAACCCCTACTTGAGTTTGATTGCCTATATAAATAAACTGTGAGTTTTAGATTACAAGCCACTTGTTTGTATTATTTTTTCTATCCTGACCACTGCTATTCACTGCCTGACATGCAGGTCGATTCCCATGGTAGACTAGTGAGGCGACTTTGGTCACCGTGATACCAGTAGCATCTGATTGTGAGTGAGTGAGTGAGTGAGTGAGTGAGTCTGAGCTTGATACCAGTAGCATCTGATTGTGAGTGATTCTAAGCTTGATACCAGTAGCATCTGATTGTGAGTGAGTGAGTGAGTGAGTCTGATCTTGATGCCTGTAGCATCTGATTGTGAGTGAGTGAGTCTGAGCTTGATACCAGTAGCATCTGATTGTGGCATTTATTTATTTAACCCATAGGGACTTAGAGGTTCAGGTGGTCAGGCTAGCAGACTTGGTTGATGGTGTGTTGATGGACCTAATGGCATGGATCATAGCTCACAATATCGATCACTTGATTGTCTGGTCCGGACTCACTTATTTACAGGCCACGTCATATAGCAGAGTGTGGCGTTAAACCAAACACACATATTTGTATTTCTTTCACACAAAAACCAAGAATTTATCAACAAGAACCTACAAGTTTCATTCTGGCACCAGGTGAAACCACCCAAGGAACCAGTGTGGATGCAGGTCAAGATGGGTGCCACCAAAAATGGAAAAGCCAATCTGTTAAAAAACACCATGACCATGTTTGTACATATCATTCCCAGTGTGTTTCCTGTATATTTTGTACTGTTTACTGTAACTTTATTTGCTCTGCTTCAATGGTAAAAACCCATGTCTTTCATCAATAACTAAACTTTTAATATTGAAAAGTCTGATTCACTATGTTCTTTACCTGCATCTAGTGTCTTAGCAAGATCAGCTGTTGCCAGATTGAGAGTGGATTGGTGGGGGAATGAGTAGGTTGATGGTGTGAACATTTATCAGTCTGGTTGATGGTGTGCTGTTTGTTTGTTGTTTAATGCTGCTTCATGTTGCAAACACTGATTGGTGTGACTGTTTGTTTGTTCAGCATTTTTCCAGCTATATGACAGCGGTCTGTAAATAATCGAGTCTGGACCAGAAAATGCAGTAATTGATATCAAGAACATCGATCCACACAATTGTTTGTTAGTTGTTTAACTCCGCACTCAGCAATCGTCCAGCTATATAACGGCGGTCTGTAAATAATCAAGTCTGGACCAGACGTTTCAGCGATTGACATAATGAGCATCGATCCACGCAATTGGGATCAATGACATGGGATGCAATAAGCATCAACCATGTCAGTGAACCTGACTATCCGATCCCGCTAGTTGCCTATTTCAAGCATGGGTTGCTGAAGACCTATTCTTACCCGGATCTTCCCATGTCGGTTGATGTGTGAACACTGATCAGTGGAGTTTTCGGGTGGAGACGTGTTTGTTTAGATTGAGTCAGTTGAATGTGTTATAGAACAGCAAGTGGCCATGTGATTCAGGTTTAAACTACGTTGGTGACAGAAAGAGGATCCTAATCAGGATCAATCTGGTATTTATACCACCTTTCAGCAGTAGATCACCGAGCCACCCATGCCCCCTGAGGTTGTAGGAGTGAGTGAGTGAGTTGGGTTTAACGCTGCTTTTAACAGTATTCCAGTTAAATCCCGGTGTGTCAACTTAATGTGGGAGGAAAGCCTGAAGTGGTGCAGGTCTTAGACGGGTATGGTACTGACAAACCTAGAAACATAATCGGGGCAAACCGTGATTCGAACGCACAATCATAGGTTTC